TTTTAATTAAGTATTTTGTCAATATGAAACCAGTTTTAACTTCTTTGTGTACTACTGGGTAGTTTCATCTATAGCAAAGAGTGATATTTTCCTAGCTGAACATGTATAAAAGATCTTAAACTGCCAAAGATGCCAGATCAGTGTAGTGAAGTAAATGTAGTACAGCAGAAGCATGTAGTAAGTAACAGAAAACTGAAGCAGTCCAGTGAATGTGCTGACCACTGTATAAAGAGCTAACGCAGGATACACACATGAATCAGACTCTTAATAACACCTTCATCCGACCTCAGGATCCTCCATGATCCTGTCTCTGAACTGTTCCTGTCTGATCCCATTTCTAGTTTGTTGTTTTAGATCCTCGCTTAAAAAAACAGCCTCAGCTATGAGCACAGGCAGTCAGGAAGCCGAGAGGCGGTTCCTGGGTTTTGGGTGACTTACTCTCACGCAACACATGTGGTGGCTGGTCCTCAGGAGGCAGAGGGGTCCTCCCCTGCAGGTCAGGTTACCCAGAGCAGCCAAGGGCTAACCACTACCATCTGGCCTCACCTTCCATGTTCACTGCTGCTCCAGGTCTCAATGGCTTCCACATGGCGCCCCGCCATCTCAGACATAACCTCTACAACACACAAACACACAGAGATACATTCATAAAACTGATGCACACACAAGGTACACACAAATACACCTATGCCAGCTCAGGCACATACACATACTACTCACAAATGCACACGTCTATCAGCACATAACCTTTATTGTTCATGTATGTTGTATCACTTTTTAAAACTGCAATTACAGGTTGCTTTACAGACGGGAAAAGAAAAGTGAAAAATAAACACAAGAGAGAAGACAATTGTGTACATAAATGTGTAGAAATTACAAAATCTAGAGTTGTAAGATCAAGAAAAAGCTTAAAAACAAATACAAAATTAAGATATTTTAAGTTTTTATGGCTTTGTAAATACATAAAAAACATACATCCACATTGCACACAAGTAAGTATGCACCCCCCAACACATGCACACACACAATGTACATATGCACGCTCTACACAACAAAGCTACATGCACACACAACATGCTCGCACACACGCACACACACATCCGCTCACACAACTGGAGGGGTTTCAGGCGGGCGGGTAAGAGGGGTACCTTACGCGAGCGGGCGGGTAAGAGGGGTGGGGGTGGGTAGGGGGGTTGAGGGGCTTTAATCAGGAAATTCACCTCCAGGGGTTTCATGTAAGCAGGACTGGACGCTGCTCTTCTCCCTGCTTCACACAATGAATCACTGAGACAGCCGGTGCTTGAAAGCCTCAATGCACTGTCAATAAAACTAATGCTATCACAGGTTCTCTGTGTGCAATGTAATCTATTATATGGTTTTATATGCAGCACGTGGAAAAGCCAACAGTGTCTGAGATGAAAACTGCCATCACTAATTACACGGGATCAACACAAATAGTGGCGTGGAGTTGGCACAAACAGTTTAATATTTTTATTTAGAAGCAGCTTTTATTGAATCTAGATTACAGAAACGTAAATGGACCAGTAGAGAGGACTGAGGGGGGAGGATGATGTGCAAGAGGTCATGAGCTGGTTTTACCTCAAATAAGCTCCAGTTCGCCCTTATTTTATACAGAATACACCCCAACCATGTTAAAATGATTAATATAATGCCACTGTAGGTCATGGTGCCTGCATATGTAACCGATAGTAACCGAAAATAGACATCTCTGAAGCCAAGCGCTCACCTTTGTCTTTACAGCACTTTTCATTAGTCTGAACAGAGATTCATTCATTTTATTTGGATTTTGTGTTGATAAAGTAGAACTTCTGTACAATGGCACTCCTTTCTTGTGTATGCTGGCTGTCACTGCTAATGTTCTAACTACCCGGGTCTAGACGTATCGTCAAAGCCATTGCAAAGCCATTGCGCCATTAGAGGCAAATTCAGACAACTGCACCTGTTTTCAGGCAACTGAACAGCAACGCAGCTCCTTTGTTATATTCTGGGTTGAACAGTGACTTTCAAACATTAGAAACATTTTTGACAGGCTTAATTAAAAATGGGAAAAAGGAAAGACTAGGAGCCAGTTTCCCTCATTATAATACAATATACAGTCAGACAGTAAACTTCAGAACTAAAGGGAGGGTGTATACCAAACTATGCTTGCTTTGGATCAACTCATTACATTGGATCATAAATCAAATTTTTTCATCGATCTGACCTTTATTTAACCAGGATTGTTAAATGGATGGATGGATTTTTATCCAAGAGCGTCATATTCAAAAAGGAATCATAAATCATAAATGTATTAATACACAAGAGAACCGTTGACCTTTGCTCAGGTAAAAGATGATCATCTGACTGAGGTGAGGAACAGGATACTTAAATGTACTGTTGGTTCTATGTACTTAGTATGTGTTTTTTCAAAAAAGGAAAAAGAAAAAGGAAAGCTAGTACAAAGTACAAAGACACAAAGTAGAAACATAGATTGTTACGCTGATGTGTCTATTTCTGGAGCGGCAGGTATACGACATATATATATATATATATATATATACATATATATAAACCATGAGTAATGGTGCTGTACTATTTCTATCCAGACAGCTTCCCATTAAATATCTTTGGTTGCTGGAAATAATGCAAATCCTTGAGCAGGACTTTTTTATGGTAATACAGGATTTACAAGATTGTTGCTTCGCCACTGATGGTCTTTGAAAAGTTGGAATTTTTAAAAGGTAAGTTTGGGTATTTTATGCCTTTATTGGAGTGTTTTTAGTAGAGAAATAACAAAAAACATAACCATAACCTAACCGTAAACCTTGACCCTAAACCTAAACTCAAAGGTCTTTCAACTGAGTTTTCAGTACCATCTCATATCTATATACCAGCAATATCTAGTTACACTGTCCCATTACACTGAATGGTTCTGTTGCCCTTATGTGACACTATTCCTTGTTCGCCAGAGTGAATAGACAAACAGCAATCTTAGATCAGTCATCCTGCATTTACATACTCACCGTCATGAGATGTGAAAAAACGTGCTACTGCAGCTTGAAAGAAGAGTACCACAAATAAATTCTCTTTAGCACGCCGCTGCACCTGTGACATACGAATAATTTGCTTCCCATAGATTCACACTGCACAAAACAATGGCATCTGTGTCGCTGGGTGACAACTTATCTGCCCCAGCTGAAACAGGAACAACATGCTCTGTCTCAGCGGTAATCTTTGATCAGCTGAAACGCTTTCTGTGATAAACATTGACTCGATCCCCATGGGCAATCACTCTATAGTGCTGGCATCGTGGGAGGTAATGTATGCACAGACGTGTTGAATTCGCCTCAGGCCCTCACACACACATGGGCATACACGCAGTGAGATGAATTGCTACGCCACCTAGAATAAATACATATCAGCTACAGTGAGCTGGGGCGCTTTGCTCTTTCCTATTAATCCTCAGCATGGTGATTTATTGCAGTGTGCTTGTCAACAGCCATATAGTCCCCTGGAACTGTGGCCAGCAGAGAGAAATAGTGGAGTTTAAGACCAAGGCCCAGCAGCTGCCCCGTAGTCTATTTATGTGCATTCTGGTCCACGCTGAAGGTGAATATATGGGTTGGTTGAACAACAACAACATTTTGTGCAGAGAGGAATGGGGCTGTAAAATAATCTATTCGCCATAATCCAACTTTTAAATTGATGTCTTCCCAGATGTCGCCGCTGTAGAGATTTGCATTTGCCAAGGTGAAAGGCCTGGATGCTCAGCAATCAGTTCAGTGCAGGAGAGTGAATGCTAAAGGGCCCTTCTGTAAGTTATTTTTATGCAGTCTATGCATGGCAGTGCATAGTCAGATTAATATGACCTCTACTAAAACACAGACTGGCATGGCAGGCAGTGGCTCTTATTAGAGAGCACCATCTAGTGGTTGTTTAAAGGGCTGGTGATATTCAATATATTTTATTGTCAACATTAAAATACTAAAACCTACAAAGACAGATGCTTTTAACAAGTACTATATTTTCTGTGTGGCCAAAACTTGACATAGCTTTTTCCTGCTGCTGGTCATTGGCCAGTCAAATGTGTATTAATCCGCAGCTAAAAATAGTCCCCAACAAATGCAGTATTTACCTTTTGTCCTGAGTGACATTTGCTAAAAAAGCTGTTTAAGGAAATTATGTAGCTTTTTAAAAAAAATCTAAACCCCTATTCATGACCTATTTTTTACCTTTTCAGTAGGAACAAATGGGCTTGGGGCTGAGAGCCATACAGGAACTAAACATTGTTAGTTTTGGTCTTAAAATATAGAATATCAGCAGCCTTATTCTTTCAATTCCAAGATTTTCTAATGTCTAAGACTCATAGATAAGGTAAAGATTTGCACATTTTATTTTATTCTGACTAGTATCTTTTTAATTCCAAAAAATCATATGTGACTGTAAAGTGGATTGTGAGATGCAGTATTGTATCAACTTTAAATTGGCTTTACAACTATACATAATTTAAACAAAACAAATCCATATCGTAACAGTTCTTGATTCTTTCTTTGATTTTTATTTTTGTATAGTTTAGTTTTCAGAATGGGTTTGCTCTTTTCTTTTTTTATTGTATTTTTTTTTTTCCGTCTATTGTAGTTTTTATTTTTATTTCAGTTAACTAAAATGTATTTTCACAAGTTAAATTTAGGTTTTTTGGTCAACAGCAGGGTGAAGAATGAATTTTGAACAAAAAACAAACAAACAAAAAAGCAATTTGAACATTAAAGTCCACAACAAGTGAGAAAGCTCTGCTGACGAAGACCATGGCTGTGTATGAAATCAATAAGTGTGACGCATTGGCAGCAAAGACAGACAGTAAATATAGTGCGCTTTATAGTAAAGATGAAGTGATTGCTAACTGAAAGCACTACAGCAGCTACTTAACGGACCTTGAGGTGAGATTCTTTTGTCAGCTGCTTTTTCCAGGGTCAAGAATGAACTCTGAACCTCAAAACTGATCCTTTATTTGAATTTTTTTTATTGTGAATTTGACACAGTTACAATACACGACTTAGAAAACTCACGACAGGAACAGAGCACCTTTTTCACACTGCAGACACCAAGGACACTTTGACGTGAAGGCTACAAACATAAAATAAGGCCACTCTACTTTAAACTGTATTGTCCGTTTGAGAGAAAACAGCGGCTTTCTTTGACTTCAAGGTCCCGCAGTGGCAGAAGACCTTCAGGAACTATAGACAGTACAAACTAAAAAAGGTCTACAGATGTCACACTGGCCTGACACTGTTGTGAGTTGAATTTCACAGATGTTTAAGAGAATGGCTTTAGCTAGTGTAGGTAGGAAGTGGCTATCATTTTGGAGAACAGGGGGAAACACAGAAACTCTAGGGGAAAGTGAGGACTGCTCATTCATTTGGAGCAATTTTCTACATATAATTATTGTAATTATACTGCTATGATACAGAATTACAATGCTATGCTATAATAAATTATATGCATCTTAATCAGCGATTGCTTTCATGTAGTCCTGACCAAAACAAGAGAGACTTTCACATTTTGATATTAAATGTTTCTCACTTCACTGATGAAAGAATATTTTGGAGAAGTGCTCAAAATTGTTCTGCAAGAGTGGAGAATGCACCCTGAAGGGGCATCCAAAACAAGCAAGTGATTTTGAATGTGAGACAATTGTAGGGCTTTACAGCTAGATGGCGCAGTGAGGCTGCATTAGCAATGAAAGCCCCCCACCCCTCCAAAACAAACCCATCTAGCCGTCTCCTCTCCAGCTTCTCATTTTATTCAGTTTCTCTCTGTCACCATCTTTCTTCACCTCTAAGCCCTCCAACCCTCTTCATCACTCCCCCTATCTCTCTAACTCTCCTTTCCCATATCCTCCTCCCCCCCTCTCTCTATCACTCTATATCTCTCTGCTTCCATCCATCTCACTCTCCCCCTCCCAACCCCCCATCACCATCTCCACAGCTTCACTCTGTCCTCTACTGCGCGGGCACAGCCTGGGTTTCACCTCCGGAGGTCAGTAGCTGCATCAGGCTCCCTGAAGCGGGCCGGTTCTCTCCTGCAGCCCACTTGAAGAACATTCTGGAGGAATGAGAGAAACAGAAGTGGTCAAAACCCAAACATATTCATCTGTTGATAGACATGTCGATTTTGTAGTATTACAATACCTTATCACTTGGGGGGTCCATATATGTCTATTAAAGACCATCAGACTGCAATTCTACATTAGTCCATGCGATTCCAATACATAACGTGTAGTTAGGCATGGGACGATATGAATATTTCATGTCACACTTTACCACTTTACCTACATTTTGTTAAGAAACACATATTTCTTGCACCACAGATAGGTACCTCATCTCCCTGTTCTTTATTTTGGAATCTCCACACATCCAGTTTAAGCCGAGCCTTTTAGCCATAGTGACAGTCTTAGGGTTTAGGAATCATTGGAAAGATGTGGGCTCCCTCTTGTCCCCTTGTTCAAAATAAATCAGGAAATCAATATAGCGTATGCTGGCGAGCCAGAGAGCTTTTTTCAAATCAAGCCATGTGAGGATATTCACGTCTATCCTGATTCACCATGGGAAACTTATCGAAGTGCTTTTTTATTGCGATACCTCATATTGTATATTGTCCTATCCCTACATGCAGTATCATCTATTTCTCCTATATTTGTAAGGTATATTCAAAATATATTTCTATTTCCTATATTGTTATTTTTTCCCCAATAAATTCCTAAATATTGAGTGTAGATAGGCTACAATTTCAATGGCCTATGTAGACAAAAAAAAAAAAAAAA